AGAGCGAGAGACAAGAAAGGCGAGGCTCACCAAGCCATTTATCTCTCCGCCCTTCAGTTAATCCCACTTGTGTTTATCAGCCAGGCTGGCATAATAAACTATCTCATGTGGCATGTACATGCGTGCATCTCTATGTGCATATGAGTGTGCAAAGCCTTGTATGTGCATGCATGAGTATGTGTGCAGGCACATGTTTGAGTGTGTCTGTGCACGTGTGTGTAACATGTGCATGTTTTTTGGCATGTGTAAGTATGTAGTGCATTGCTTTATTCATGTGTGTGTGCATGCATGGACAGGATGAGTGTGGACCTGAGTCTGACCTGTGAATGTCCAAGTGTGCGCATGTGTGTGCCTGGACACGTATGGGGTGTGTCTATAGGTGTGCATTTGTGTGATGTGGTAAATGTGTGTGTGTGCCTGTTTGTGGTGTATGCAAGTGTCTGCACATGTGTGTGAGTGGGTGCACTTGTTGGGGGTATATGCGCATGCCCACATGTACCTGAGTCCAGTGTTCTGTTCTCCTCGGCCCTCCCACTGCCCCCCGTGACAGAGGTCTTCTCCCAGGGCCACTGCTCTCATGGCCGGAGACGGGGGTTTACAGCCCTCTCAGGGTCTTCAGCTCTGTCCCAGGTGTCCACCTCCACCTTCCCTGTCAGCATGTGAGACACATGAGACACTGGCAATGCCAGTGGGCACTGCTGAGAGGAGGCCAGGAGGCCAGCAGTTCCCAGGGCCCTTCCTCCACTGACCATGCCCCACCTATCTCCTGGGAGCACCTCCCTGGGCTGTGACACCCACGGCCTCGCTCACTGCTGCGGGGGGTTCTCTTCACAGTGGTCCCTGAGGAGTCCCCGGACCCCAGTCTGGCAGCGCGCTCAGGAGAAGGTGAGCACCAGGGGCTGCAGGGTCACCTGCCACTCGCTGGACTCCATATCCCCACTCCCACGGGCCACGTAGAAAGGCCCCCGAGGGTGTCTGGGCTGTCACCTTGCTAGAAGCAGACCACCACATCGTTCTTCTGCAGAGCAGCTTGTGGGTTCGAACTGCCGACCAGTGGGTTAGCAGCACCCCGATGTCACCAGGGCCCCATCTTTTCCAACAAGTGGGACTGTGTTGCACCCCAACCTGCCCCTGTTGTCATTGCTCTGCCCTCTTGCTTGAGTCTGGAGATGCCCACACCTGGGGCAGGCCACGGTCCGGTGAGGTCCCCCACTGGCACCATCACTGATGCTGGCCACTTTCTTTCCACAGTGGCGGCGGAGGCCGGAGCTCACCGAGTCACCACACTCACCAGGACAAGTAAGTAGAGGGGCTTCTGGGGCAGCTGGACGCCAGCCATCCAGGCATTTAGGACAAATGCCACCTAAGTCTTCATGTTCGGTTTCTGGTGACTTTTGGCTCGAGCCCAGAGGAAATACCATGAGAGCCCCTTTACAGAGGACGCAGGAAACAGAGGCTTGGGGAACTGAGGAGTCCCGAGCCAAACTCCAGGAGAAAGACAGCGCTTGCTTCTGGTGGGAAGGGTGGCAGGCTTGGAAACCCACAGGGTTGCTGAGAGTCGGCAGTGTGTGTGAGTCGGGAGCCAAACTGCAGAGCAGGCTTGGGTGGGTCTCTGACCCCATCCTCGAGGCTGCCATTTTGAAGAGCAATGTGCAGACAGCAACCTGTTACAATACCCTGGACAGGATTCCAGCAGGTTTAACCTAACTGTGCACTGTGACTGGGATGATTAAGAACCATAAATCCTTAATCAATACGGATCAATAAAGAACCAAACCAGTGGCTGTTGAGTTGAGAGGACGATCTCTTATCTAAAATTATTTTGGTCAGGACTCCATCAGATTTAGCCTGATCATGCTCTGGGATTAGGGTGATTAATAACATAAAATCTCAGTCAGTCAGTATCAATAGAGTGGACTCCGTCTCCCGGCGCCACCTGTGTGTCCCAGAACTGTGCTCCGGCGGGTTCTCAGTGGCTGGTTTTCAGAAGTAGACAGCTAGACTTTACTTCTGAGTGCCTCTGGGTGGACTCAAACCTCAGACCTTTTGGTGAACAGCTGAGTGTGTGACCCATCTGGACCCCTCCCCCAGGGGCTCCACCTCTGGTCCGTAAAAGGCCACTGTCATGGAAGCCATTCCAACCCACAGGGACCTCACAGTAGAACGGACCCATAGGGTTTCCGAGACTGTAACTGTCAGAGACACAGGCTGGGAGGCCCGAACCGCCAACCTTGCCGTTAGTAGCGCCATGCTTAACCCACGGTGTCAGCAGGGCTCCTTTCTGACACATTAAAACAAAAATCCAACTCGCGGTCACCGAATCCGTTCTGTCTCATCACGGCCTCATAGGGCAGAGTAGGGAGGGCCCCTCAGGTCTGGGAGCTTGTGCATCTTTACAGGAGGACACAGCTGCATCCTTCTCCCGCAGAGTGGCTGGTGGGTTCTCACTGCGGACCTTGTGATCAGCAGCTCCTTTCTGGCCCCTGGTAGCAGCTTCATAATGATTGAACAATATCCGCAGCAAGGCTCACTCCCTGCATGAGAAATAGCGGGCAGTGTTCACACAAGACAAAGAAGCATAGCTCGAGTCGTGTCCCATCTGCATGGCCCCTTGCCCCGCGACCCCCTTGTTGTTGGAGGGGTCTCAAAACCACTTCCTCCCAGTGAGTGAAAGGTGGGGCCAGGACTGTCTTTCACCCCACCCCCCCCGCCCCCCTGGAATGCCCACTACCAACATGTCTGGTCAGACACTGAGTTGATAGATATAAAAGCAAACTGTCGTGTTCAATACCTAATATTTTCAAGGAAATTGCTCTTTGGAGCTCATGAAAAGGCTGCAGAAAGCTGATTTACTTGTAACTCTGTTCTCCAACAAGGGCGTCTTTCGCTGCTGACAACTTGACCCTCGGTGAAGGAGGTGGTGTCAGGCATAGGCCAGTCCTGGCTTCCAGCCCCATCGAAGGACTCAAGAGGCTACCCTGCAGAACTGGGCGTTTTCAGTCCCGGGGCTAGGGGGAGGAGGGGAAGCTGAGCTTCCTGAAGCATGCTGGTGAGCTGGCACCCCTGGCCCAGCCTGGCCTGCTGCCGCTGCACTTGCTGGCCAGCCTGTGTCTGGGGTTTCCTTGGGCACAGCATGGCCCCCTGCTGGCACCAGCTGTCCTGGGAACCTCACCTGGGAGGTGGGGCCTGGGCAACCCAAGGCAGCTGCCTGGAAAACGCCAGGTAGCCAGTGCTGGGCCTGGCGCCCACTACTCAGACTGTTTCTCCTCTTTCTGGGCAGACCCTGGCCGGGATCAGGGCGCCACGGAAGCAGCCAGGACCACAGCCCCTGTGGGTGAGTGTGCAGTGGCTGCTGGGCCCTCTCCATACCATTTCTCATCCGTTTACGGGAGACCTTGCGGTGTGGCCGTGGTTAACGGGGAGGCTGGGGTTCAAATCCACCTGGAGGCAGCTCGGAAGAAAGGCCTGGCAATCTGCTTCCAGAAAGTCCACCCTGAGGCCCCTGGGAAGCCCAGTCCTCTGCTGACCCACACAAGGTCACCATGAGTCGGAATACGCTCTGGGTGAACGAGTTAAGAGAAGAAAGGGAGGGAGATTGAGTGTGTTCCAAAGTAGCGTTGGGGGAACATGCCACGTTCCAACACGGTAAAAGTCGTGTTTTACCTGGAGCTAATTACTTTCTTTTGTTTAAAAAGGGAAAAAGAGAGAGAGAAAGATCACTGAAACGCAAAGGGAGACCCTGATGCGGAAGAAAGGAAAGCACATGGACACAGAGATCCATTTAGAAAAATCCAGAGTTGCACTGAGCAGACTGTTCTAATCGCCACTAAGTTCACAAACACTTCAGAGGGGACCACACTTTCTTCTGGTCCTTCCTTACCCCTCCGGGTGCTTCTGTGGCCATGCATGCCCAGGACGTGGGGTCACTGATGGCAGTCTGCATGATGTCACCTAGCAGGCGCGTTGATGTCCCTGCACCGGGAGACGGTGTCTAGCATAGCTTTCAGTGGGGCTTGATGATTCCTCATCTGGAGCCACATAATTCAGTTAGCCAATGAATTCTAACATTTTGTTATTATGAATAATAGATAGGGAATCTCTTTATGCCCATCCACTTCTGATGAATTTTTCACGATAAATGCCTAGAAGTTGAATTATTGGTATCATCCTTTTAAGGCTCTTGGTATGTGGTAAATTGCCCCAGAGAGAAATGGAACCAACTCAACCCCCTCCCCCCAATAAACTCATCTCTATAGCTACTGTTGGTATAGTGGTTACACTTTGGGCTACAATCAGCAAAGTCAGCAGTTCAAAACCACCAGCTGCTCCATGGGAGGGCAACAAGACTTTCTACTTTCAGCAAGAGTTACAAACTCAGAAACTAGTTCTACCCTGTCCTACAAGGTCAACACGAGTCAGCATCAACACAAGGGCAGGGGCTTTGGATTAGTTAATCATCTAGAGCTTTCTTCCATGGGGCAAGGGCTTCAAGCAGGCGCCTCAGACTCAGAGGAGCACAGGCAGTGGGTGCTGGAACCTCCATTTCTATAGACTCCTTCACCTGCAGTTTCAAACGCCGTTTTCTTATTTTCTGAGCGAGCCTTGCTGTGCTCAGCAGGCAGCTAGAAAGACCCTTCCACGCCCCCCCAAAGTGGTGTCATGAAGGTCATTTTGCAAAATGGCAATTCAGGTTTAGAGAGGCTATGTGATTTGCCCAATGGGGGTAATCTACAGCACCCATGGTCTATGCTCCCTCAGGGGCTCATGGGCCATTCACTCCAGAACTAAACTAGGCTCCTTCTCCTCGGCTGCCCTGACCTGGGAGCAAGGCAGGAGGGAAAAGAACCTCTGAACCACACAGTCAATTCTGACTCACAGTGACCCTACAGGGCAGGGCAGGGCAGCCCCCTGTGGGTCCCGGAGGCTGTAACTCTTGATGGCAGCGGAAAGCCTTGACTTTCTCCCGGAGAGCACCAGGTGGGCTTTGAACCGCTGACCTTGTGGTTTGCAGCCCAACACATAACCCATTAGGGCACCAGGCCTCCTAAGAGATGGCTTCTCATTGTGAGGCCTGAGAGCTCACAATTAGAAGTTTAACCTGGGCCCCTGGGGCTGCAGCAGGGCTTTGTCTCATGGGTACCGGGCAAGGACCGAGAGGCAACAGCACAAAGAAGCCCAGCTGTTTGGGGCAAGGCAGTGGGGGGAGGGGGGTTGGGGATAGGGACAGGCTAAAAGTCAGGGGTCAGGAAGACCCCGCATTCTGGCTGGAGCAGGAGCCTGCAGGTGCTTTCTGGACTAGCCAGGCCTGTACCTGACGGTAGGCGGATAATAGGGTGAGTCCCTGATGGGGCTGGCAAGGGAGGCAGGTGAGGAGCAGGCTTGGCCCCTCACCCGAGGGTGATGACAGATGGAGGAGAGGGGGTATCGTTATCACTGGCCCGGTCTGCCATTCCTTTCCCCTCAGCACATGCTGGGAGCACCCAGTGCCTTTGGCTTTCACCCAGCAGGTTCATGATAGGAAACACATCGCCGAGGGACTGTGATGGCTCGCGTCCACGTAGTGTCACCTGCATGACCTAGCACATGCATCCGGTCCAGGTCCTCATAGAAAAATATGCCCTCGTAGGACTCAGGCAGGGGGCCTGCGAGCGCCGCTGGTGACCCTGCTCCTGGGTCCACATCTCCCAAGGGTGCAGGGGCGAGCCTGACCTGGGCCGTCTGCAGGCACTGCCTTGTTTGCAGGGTCTGCGGAGGTGGTTGTCACCGGGCAAGAAGTCACCATGGTTCCTGCTGGTGTCAAATCTCTGGGGCTGGAGATGCCATCGTCCCTCAAAAGTGGTCCTGAGGACACACGGACACAAGGTGGGCAGATGGGTCTGCATCTTTCCATTACAAAGTCTTTTGGGCTGCCGTCTCAAGTGGGGTGTGGCCATCAGCTGCCCTGCTCCTTCCTGGGAGAGCATGCGACTCCCCTGTGGCCAATGGAGCATGGTAAGGCTGAGCCTGGGAAGGACAGGTGTCTGACCTCATCCTCGCCCAGAACTTGCACCTTGCTTTTTTTGTGGGGGTGGATGTGACACATTGGGGTGCCCTGGATCCTCCTGCCATCTCTCCCCCTTGGTTTCTGAGGCTGTAATTCTTTATGGGAGTTGAAAGCCCTGTCTTCCTTCCACGGACGGGCTGGTGGTTTTGAACCGCAGGCTTTCTGGTTAGCAGCCCAACGTGAAACCACTAGGCCACCAGGGACAAGACTGACTCTAGGGTCAGCAGTCCCTGGGTGCTGACCCGATGGAACAGAGCCAGGAGGCCAACCTTGGGCTAACCCTTGGGATAGTCAGGACTCCCCCAGACTCCAGCGTTGCCAGCACACCTGGGCAGGAATGCCCGCAGTCTGTGACCCACGGCTCCAGCCCTGGGAGGCTTAGCAAGGTGTCTGGGCAGAGGGGCCACAGCCTGGTGAGAAAGGACTTGTCACACAGGACAGTTTCTGATGCCCAGAGTGACAGGTGTGGGCTTCCTCGCTCAGCCCTGCCATCTGGAGCTCCACCCCTTCCCAGGATGCCATGCCCATGTCACCTGCCCGAGAGTCCTTGTTTCCCCTCAGCCTGCAACAGGCTCACATTCCTGCACCTGGGAAGTGGCCACCGTGTGCAGGAGATGCCCGAGCTGGGACAGATGCTCTTTTGCCTGACGTCCCGGTGCCCGGAGGAGTTTGAATCTTACGGTTGCTACTGTGGGCAAGAGGGCAGAGGCGAGCCCAGGGATGCCCTGGACAGGTATGTGGGAGGGGGAGAGGGTACCCAGGCTGCCTCCTCTGCCTCTGAGAGCTGGTTGGGAGGGGAAGGGGGCATGATCTCATCCATGTTACCAAACTAAAATACCAGACTCACTGCCATCGACTCGATCCCAATGTCCAGCGACGCTGTAGGACAGGCTAGGGCTGCCCCTGTGAGTTTCTGAGATGACAACTCCTCACAAGGGCAGGAAGCTGGTCTTTCTCCTGAGGAGTGGTTGGTGGTTTCAAACAGCCGACCTTGCAGTTGGCAGCTCCATGTGTCAACACTCTGCCAGCAGGGCTCCTTCAGAGAGTGCTGAAGATGAGACGCATCAGCCCAAATGGACCTCACCCCTGGGAGGCGGCCACTCGCGTAGGGAAATTGAGGGGTGCCTTCAGACAAAAACAACCAACGCTCACACGCGTTAATGTGATGAAAAGGGGCAGGAACTGCCCCCAGATGGGGAAGGAGGGAAAGGTCTCCTTAGAGGTGGTCGGAGGAACATTCTGTTGGGAAATTGTTGTCAAGAATATGCAAAGTCAACCCATCCTGCCCTGTGGGGCTCATGCCCGGTTGGATGGGGTGTCTTTCTGCAGTGCACAACCTGTACGACCATACACAGTGGCCCTTACCATGCCTAAGTCGGTGCTGTGGGTACCGGGTCGGGGATGCTGGAGCCTCTCCCCACTGTGGGAGGGCATGTGGGAGATGCAGGCCTCCAGGGGCCTCCCAGGGAGCTCGGTGCACTGGGAAGTCAAAGGTCCTTCGGTCCTAGGTGCTGTTTGTCCCACCACTGCTGCCTGGAGCACGTGAAGAAGCTGGGCTGTCTGCTTGGGAGGCCTCCTCGGGCACACGTGTCGTGCGTGGATGGGGCAGCCAAGTGTAAGTGCTGGGGCTCGGCCAAGTGGTCAGCACTGAGAGGGGAGCCTGGGTTAGGTGGACCTTCCCCCACATTCCTCTCTCTCCTGGGGTATCATCTGCGTCCGAAATGGGAGGCACATGCTATGGCAGCGTCTCCCCGTCAAGGCAGCCCCCGTTGGTGCACCCAGTGAGTCTGGGTGGAGGAGGGAGGGGCTGCGTGGTGGGTGGTGTGGGAAGAACCCAGCTGATGAGCCCTTTAAAGTGGGATGGGAAGAAAACCATGCAACCACACCAATAAGGGTCTCCCTTCTTTCCAAAAGAAAGACCACTGGGATGTCGGCACCCACTTGCGACTGACTTCTCCAGTCACATGCACACCACCCGTTTCTACCTCTGCACCTTTTAAATGTTCAGGAAGTAGGGCTGCCAGATTCCCCAAATCCCAACACACGGTGACTGGAATTTCAGTTTCAGAAGAACAACAAATAGAATTGTATGACTCATATCACATTTAAGATATACTTAACCCCAAAACACGTTCACTGCTGTCCGAAGTTCAAATGTCTCCAAGCCCGCCGGCACGGAGTGGATTCCAACTGACGGTGGCCCTACAGGACGGAGGAGAAGCGCCCGTAGGGTTCCCTAGGCTGTGGATCTTAGAGGACGCTGGCGGCCTCCTTTCTCTCTCAGACAGGCTGGTGTGGTTGAACCTGACTTTGCTGTTAGTGGCCCAGCACTTAACTGGGTGCTTCACTGGGGGTCCTTCCACTTTAAACAGGGATCCCAGAGTTTAACCCAATGGTTCTCAACCTTCCTAATGCCTCGACCCTTAAATACAGTTCCTCATGTTGTGGTGACCTCCCCAACTATACAATTATTTATATTGCTACTTAATCACTGTAATTTTGCTACTGTAATTTTGCTACTGCTATGAATTGGGCGATCCCTGTGAAAGGGTCGTTCACCCCCTAAAGGGGTCATAACTCACAGGTTGAAAACTGCAGGCTTAACCTTAAGCATACTCCATAGTCAGCACCAAGGAGGCAATGCTGACGGGGGCAGACAGGTAGAAATACTTCTGTCAGAGGAACAGGGACCCCTGTGGTCCCAAGTATCGGAGCTTAACAAAGGTCTCCTAGCTGGGGGAGCATTTGCCAAGGGCCAAGTCAGGGGCTTTGACACACAGGCTCTGCATCAAGGCCCTCCATCCACCCAGGGCAAGGTGCGGGCCCAGCGACGGTTACAGTACAGCACTTCTGGGGACAGGAAGCACCCCGATGCCGGGCTGTGAGGGGAGCCACATACAAGCTGACTCAACTCGGGACCCAAGAGAGGCTTGAGAGACACATGAGTGTCTGTGGGCTGCCCAGAGGTCTCAAGATGGTGGGGCGGGGCGGAGCTGGGGGCCACCAGGCTGTCATCCTAGTCCGTGTCATGCTCTGGTCCTCAGGTGGGGGTCAGAGCCTCTGTGAGAAGCTCCTGTGCGCCTGTGACCAGACGGCAGCTGAGTGCATGGCCTCCGCCTTCTTTAACCAGAGCCTCAAGTCCCCCGGCCAACAGGAGTGCCAGGGCCACCAGGTGCGCTGTGAGGACACACCTGGAGGGCTCGCAGCATCCTCCGTAGGCTCCAGCTCCGAGGAGAACAGCTCTGAGGATACTCCCCTCACGCAGCGGCCAAGAAGAGCCAGATCTGTGTGGAAGTCACTGGACCCCTTGGGGACCAGGCCACGCCACGGGAATGCCCAGTAGTCGCTTCTCCTCTCCCATCTCCTCTGCAGGCAGATCCGCCACCCCCACCCCCACCCCTACCCCCGACCCGTCTAGTGTCATAGACTCCCTTGGGAGGGAACAGAGGAACTCACTGGAACGTGTGTGGAGCAGGCAGATGTGGGTACCTCTCCATTCCCCGTAGTGCATCACGGAAACTTAATAAATACTCCAATCGACTCTAGTGCATGTCTGTCTGTTTTAAGAGGTGTTTAATTGTATGCACTGAAACAACCCAAGAATATACCCTGAGGTGAGATGACAGAAATGGTGGGAAAAAACCCTCTCAACTTAATCACCAAAAGCGGTTTTTCTTCTACACAAAAAAGGTGGAGTATGCCTAATTAATGCTGTGCGATTGCTAAGGAGCCCTGGTGGCATAGTGGTTACTAGTTGGGATGCTAACTGCAAGGTCAGCAGTTCTAAACCACCAGCTGCTCCTAGGGAGAAAGACGAGTCTTTCTACTCCCATAAAGCGTTGTCTCAGAAGCCCTCAGGGCCAGTTCTACGCTGTCCTATGGGGTTGCTAAGAGTTGGCATAGATTCAGTAGCAGGGAGTTTTAATGCCATCACCAAGGGCCACCAACCATCCAATGATGAAAGCCTCCTTCCAAGGACTGAGATGATGGCTCGTCTAGGAGGCTCCCTAAGGACTGACCTGTCACCTAGCCACAGCCACCACTGCTGGGTCACTCACCATTAGGCGCTGGGGGTAGGACTTGATGTTCATAGAAACGGGCTCGGAACGGTGGTGGTGTGGGACTCGGACACAGCGACCCGTGTGGCAGGGAGCGCCCAGGGAGCGCTCCTGCTCTGTCCTCCAGCGATGTGGATCACGACATGTGGATCACGACGTGTTTCTCCCAGAGTTTAAACGCTTCGTGCGTCTCAACCACCCACCCTGGAGTTCACAGCCGGTGCATCATGACTGCACCACCAGGCCCCCTGCGGAGAGGTTGGGTGTTGCGTCTTAGAGTGGGCTCCGACTCACAGCGACCCTGTGGGCAACAGAACCCACCCTGTCGGCCCAGCTTGCCAAGGGCCTTCCTTTTCCAGCACCAAACCCGAGGGCCTTTCTCCAGGAACCGCTCTGTCCTGACATGTCTCAAGTCTTGCCATCCTCGCCTCGAAGCAGCATTCTGGCTGAAAGAGGGCTGGTGGGGTGTGGGGGGCGTGTGTGTACATGTACCTGTGTGTTCAGATAAACTACATAAGCAGGTGCATACAACACACATAGGAGAACATCCTGGTGTTACTCATACGAGACCATGAAATAAATAGACAATACAAGCAGCTGTTTGCAGCGTAAGAATGATTAACAGTTTATTAAGATTTTAAATAGCTATGAAAATAAAGCAGTACAGTGAACTTTAACAAATCTAAAACTTTTAAAATCCAAACCGGATACAATACAGTATGCATATCAATTTCCTGCAGACTTGCCTGTGTTCATGTTAGGGAGAAGTCAAAGGGAGATTCGTTTCTCAGGGATCACTGCCAACAGGACCCAGGGCAGACAGAAGTCTACTGCGACTTAAACCCACCAATCAAGTCACTGAGGAACAGCCCACACAGGACCAAGGGCGGTGGGAGTGACAGCGAGGACACTGGTTTCCCTGGCGTGCAGCACATGCGTTGTTAAACCGCAGAGAAACGGCATTTTCTAAGAGACAAGTTGGGGTTTTGCACGAGTGCAAACGAGCACAGGACTTTCCTTGTTACTAAATTAGGGATATTTGTCTTACAAAAGCACACAGTGGTCATCTATAAAATGACATCCAACTGGATGGTGATTGTTTTTGCATGTCCCCCTGCTTAGATTTAAAAAAATTAACAGTAAAAAATTAATATGCTCCTTTAAACACACCAAAGAGAAACAGAGAAACAAAACTCGTCCTGTGAGCTGGTGACACATTTCACCCGACCAGGATGTGATGCGACGTGACAGTGCCCTGGGCGGTGACTGCACTGCGCTCTGCACACAGGACCTCCCCGTCCACAGTTACTGAGCAGCCAGGCACCGGGTCATTCCCAGGTTCAGGTGGTAAGACGCCCCTCTAAGGCGCTTCTAGGGAACAGGGTACTTTGGCTGAAATAGTAAAAACTCAGAGCAAGCGTGCTCTGTGACCATCTCCTTCCATTTCTGTTTCTATGAAGCATGGCAAGTAATCATCATCCCAGAGCTAAAGCATCCTATTTGTCAATGCAATTTCCCAAACAACAACAAAAGCCCAAAACGGAACTTCGGTTTTGCTTTTTTTTTAAGCTGGAATTTGTTAAATGCTTAAAATTATTTTATGCAGAAAGACATCTTATTGGGAAAGATCAAATGATGAACTAGTGACTTTATAATAATGCCTCGAGGGAACTTTCGGAGGCCTACGGGAAGTTCGCTTTCCCGGTGCCGGGGCGGCCAATGCAGGGGGAGCGCTCTGGAAGCTGCAGCTGACAGCAGCCACACTCCCTGGGGAGGGCGGACAAGGCCTGGCAAACTCTAGTGCTCCAACCACAGGCCTTTCCGAACGTGCCATCACTAACCCTGTCCAGACTTGTGCTCGTCACCGTTCCGTCTTCACAAATGAAAAGCCTAACGGGGAAACCTCTGACTACGGATTTAAAACTGCGCCCGGCGTCAGCATGTAAATTAATGTGCTTAGTGTAAGAGAAATGTGCAGGCCCTTCACAGGTGAACTAGTAGCTGTTTTAAAATGTCTAGTTTCTATACTAAATATCTCACTTTATTAATGGAGCCACAGCAAAATACGACTATCATTTCACAGCGTAGCCTGTAAACTAATACATCTTAGGATGTAAACATATTGCACGGCTGGTGCTCTGAGAGGAAGTGCTAAGCCTCTCGAGCCACAAGGAAAAGGCTGGACAGGAACCAGGATAACAAGAAACTGGGGCCTTCGAGCGGGGCGATTCCTAGGGGCATAGTTAGGGGCAGCAGCCCGCAGATGTCTGGAATGCCCACCGTCAGTGGCAGAAATGCCCTACGGTGTGGGGCGGAAGCCACGTGCGTTATGCAGCACGGGGCCAAGTGTGTGTGACGTGTGCACCGGCTCTTCCCTGAGAGGGCCACAAAGCAACTCTATGTCTAAGCAGCTGTGCAGACATGGAAGGAATACAGTAGTCACTTCATACATTTTTAATCCAATGAAGGCTTATTTTTAAAAAAAAGTTTGTGAAAAGTTTAACAAAATATACTGTTTAACAATGGAATAATGTAAGACTAATAATATATATGCTCACTTAAAAACCGACTGGAACCTCAAATATCCTTCCCACACGTCCAGTGTGGTGGCAGAGCACTGGTGAGGGAGTCCCGTCGTGGTTGTCCATGAGGCTGTCAGTCTGCGGTGTGTCGAGCCTGGAGCTCAGCGTGACCATCCCTCCCAGGCCGTCAAACTCGATGCTGAGTCCTTTGTGCCTCCCTCAGTACACACACAGGTCTGGGAACTTCATCTCGTAGACAGGGACAGACTGGTATTGGGCATGCCCAGAAGTCAAGGTCAGAGTTCCTGATGGACTTGGTGGAGGGCTGTAAGAGAAGAAGACACCTGAAGAGGGACAGTTCAGTGCTGCTGCTCCTGCGAGCAGTGGTCTGCCGGCTGCGCGCCGCACCCCGAGACCCTCATCTGCCACCACAAACAACGCTGAAGCTGAGTGGGCAATGAGGACACCTGGTGCAGGGATGTAAATGTTCATCTCTATCGCGTGCAATTCCATTCGTACACCCTGTGTTTCACCAGGAAAACATATCTTCAGTATATATTGACAGGAGGCTTCAAAAAGTTCCTGGACAGAAGGAACAAAAGAGAATGAAACTTCTCCATGAACGTTCTGAAGCCCCTCCATGGTACCTTTGTGATGTCAGCATGTATTGGACCTTATTCCCCAGGGACAGACGAAATGGATGATCTGGTGGACAAATTCCAGTCCCCCCATTTTTCATTACTACAAATGATGTTTCTAAATCTAGTCTTGTGCACACATACTTTTATCCTGACAGGCTGCCTCCTGAGTTTACAGTTTTACAAGCAGCAGTTCTGCGTCAGCGCCTCACCATCATCTGGGGATATAGCGCCAGAGAGCTTGCGATTCATGTTTTCAGCCTTTCACTGCTTCCTATTTCATTTAGAAACATTGGGTGGAATTTTACTGTCCAAAACTCTTTGCCAAAGGTCAGTCTCCTTCAAACCTGTGCTTTGTCCGTCAGGCCCTCTGCACTTCCACGTTCATTATAGAATCAATTCTTCCCTTTCCACAATATCAGTTCAGAGGGATTTTGATTGAGATGCTATTAAAGCTATAGATCACTTTGAAGAAACAACAGCATGCAAACAATATTTAATATTTCAATCCATAAACATGGAATATTTATTTAGAGCTTTCTCTTTGTCATGTTTTGTATTTTTAATAGAGGCAATATACACTGTTAAATTTATGGATACTGTCTATTTCCAAGTTTCATTCTCCAGTACTTCGCTGCTCACAGGAACACTGTCCAACAACTCATTTCTCGGTACTGGCCCTGATCTAGGCCCTCACTAACTTCTCTGGGCCGGGGAGGTGTCTCCCCTTTGGGAGCAGGCTCGGCCCCTTCGGCGTCTCACACACACATCCTTTCATGGTCGAGGGAAGGTTGTGCTTCCTCCTTCTCCGTCTGTACATGCTTCTTCATTGCCTGGCCCAACCGTACAGACTGGCTTCCAATACACCCTGCTGAACCCCACTGCGACAGTGTACATGCCGGATTCGCTCCTGATTGGAGGCAGACAGTGTTAGGAGGCTGAGCCACACCCAGTATAGTTTGAAAAGAGTCAACTACGGGCAATTTCCTGGTGAGGCAGAACATTAGAATTCAGATCTTTACGTGAACTGGACTTCCTTATAGGACCACGGTGAAGGAACGGACTAGAGCGAGGAGCCGGACAGAGAGAAGCAGCCGTCCGTCAAGTGGACAGACGGGGACACAGACGCACTGCTAGGGCTTGTGTTTGACCCACTGGGCGCTCCCATGGGAAGCACCACGTCAGCTTCCCTGCATGGACCCTACTCCTTTTGACTGTGCTGTGGGAAGAACAAACCACGTACCGTACGGTGAGTTCCAGGATCTGAGCAAGTCTGTCATGCAGCAAATGTGCCTGCAAAGGAGAAAGCACACGTCGTTATGAATTGAGTGGGGGCGTCCTCGGTGTCTGTGGTTAGAAGCCCCTGGGGCACGGGCTGTCTTTCCGAGGCTCATGTGGGCTGCATGGAGTCTCTCGTTTGGGCTAGGAGGCGGAGCACACACAGGCCGCGTGAAGAGCACCCAGGAGCGGCAGCTCGGAGTAGCACAGACTCCTTCCCAAGGCAGAGAGGAAGCGGCTGCCACTGGAGCCGCCACGCTGAATCTGGACTTGCAGCCCTGCTGGCGCAGCGGGGTCAGCATTGTGCCTTTACCTGGCCACTGTGTGAGGCAGAGACATGTTGACTCTGCTCCAGGGCCACGGGGCTTGAAGGCCAGGGGGAGACTTAAATGATCAGAAAATAAACTTCTGTCAAAGTCACCCGCTGGTGGTTTCCCGTTACAGCAGCCCCGAGGACTAGGGAAGAACTGCTGACGCCCCGCACCCTCAGACGCCAAGACTATAGACCAGGGACTGCCGGCTGCTGAGCTCTCTCATCCGCAACTTCATGTACAGTCTCTTCTTCCCGCTCCTGAGAGTCACTGTGCTTTAAAGGGAAATGCACACAGAAACAAAATGACCAGCGCTCACCACAGACCAACAACAAAAGGAAATTCAAACACCAAAATGACATAGCATGCTGTTGGCTGGGACCTGCCATCGGTACCTGCTTACATAACACAAGGGAAACGTTGGGGTCTCATGGCTCTACCACCGGAGATTTCGATCCCCATCTGACACATTTCTTAGTGGCCAAACTTAGAACTTATCAACTGATTACCAAAAAAAAAAAAGATGTTCACTGACATCAAGCCCTGCCTCCACCCCCCACCAGGTGCTCACTCACTCTGGATTCACACCGTGCTGCTAGTTCTTCAAATGGGGCTTTCTGGAATTTCTCTATCACAAGACGTCTCTTCTCCTTTTCTTGCTCTTCCATCCCACTGGTATCTGTGGAAGCGTTGATCAAGACACAATGAAAGAAGCACAGCTCTACCAATAACCCTAAGAGCAAACCACACACACACACACACCACACACACACACCACTCTAACAGGGTTGGAAATGACATCATGCAAGATCTTGTATCTCATACCCCAAAAGTGCATACCTAACTTCCTACAGCTTAAAGAACCTCTTTCTTTCCTGAGGGGTGAGTCTCATTAAATGTGGCTCCCTTATACACATGAGACACAGATGAAGCGTTTGCTAGACTGACTCTTGATATTTATTAACAAAATAACTGGAGAACAAACAGGGTCATCAGGAACCACATTGTTTTCACTAACTCATTCACTCACTCAGCAGCCCTACAGGACAGAGCAGAACTGCTGTGGGTTTCTGAAACTGTAACCCTTTTCAAGAGTAAAAAGTCTCATCTTTCTTCCCAAGGAGCAGCTGGTGGCTTTGAACTGCTAACCTTATGGCTAACAGCCCAATGCATAACCACTATGCCACTAGGGGTCCTTGTCTTTGTCTTTTCAACTTACTGGCTGCAATTTGAAAAGCCATCTTCAATATGGAGACCATGTGAGGTCTGGCCACAGTCTATGAGACAGCACAATAACAAATGGCCCAAAGACACAACTACCGACTGCTCCTGGCTACCGAGGAGCATCACCAGGCGGACCCACGGCTTATCTGGCAGTGGCCTCCTGTAACCACACAGGGGTGTTCCCCATTGAGCTCCGCCCCTCAGACGTGACTCTCACAGGATGAATGAAGTGCCTGATGTTCAAGGTTCTGTGAAGAAAGCTGTGTGTCAGGTCAGGCAAGAAGTGGCTAGTGTGCAGAAACAGATGGCGGGGAAAGGAAATGGGCGCTGAGGAGGAGATTCTTTGACACGGTGGCAGACCGACAGAGGGGGCAGGTGTGGACTAGTGAATGACGGCCATAAAAGCCCCGCCACGTCTGCATTGCTCACAGCCTTTCTGTGGACACTACTTCTCCTTTTGTGAGGTCTTCTCCCAGTACTCCCCAACAGGTCTCCTACCAAGTTCCTCACGAGTGTTTTAAAAATTTACTTCCAGATTCACACAGCCTAGAAACTCAAGAATTCCAGAATTCTGGACACCAGATGAAAGCTGCAGTTAGGGCTTCCTGGCTCGAGTCCCCCCAGTCTGCCACCGGAACAGGACAAAGTGAGAAGGAGCAGGGGTTACGTCAATGCTAGGTTTACAGAGAAACCAACAGCATGTGCTTAGTCTGCCTCGCCTGGGATCCAGGTGCGCACGAGGGAGAAAAGGAGGAGAGGGGATCATGAGGAGAGCTCTTAAGTACAGAATGTCTCACCGATTGCTTTCTTCAGCGCTTCAAAGGTGATTTCTTCGGTGTTACTAACCTAGAGAAGTGGTTTTAAGTAAAATACAAAATTAAAAGGGTCAATATAAAAGAAAACCTTCAGCTAGTTACAAGTATCTGAGAACTTCACAATCATACTCTTCTTCTTTGTGTTATCTTGGTTTGTGATTTTACTCCAAGTGTCGCATCCCAAACAGCCTCCAGGCTCCCTGGTTCTGACACTGGCCCTTCAGGGACTAGTCTGCAGCTCGTGGTGGGCAGGCTGGGTGAACAACTGCCGGGCAGCCCCAACCCCGTGGGCAATAGCACACCTTCCTGGCTCTTAAGTGCCCCAGAGGGAAGGACTCGTCCTTAGGGAAGACGGCTTTGAGCTCTTCAGGGCGGAGAGTACACATGAAATCAGTTTCAGTCCTCAGGTCTGGTCAAGGAGAACTAAGTATTGTATAGTCTCTATCACTTTGGTACCATGTGCAATTTACAAATGCACAATCTAAGACTTTAAATTACTTAAAAGAAGTAATACTTTAGGATGTGTTCAATAAGTGTAATGTAATCAACAGCTTGAAATAAGCATAATTTGGATCTTCTGAGGCTCACCACCAAGTTTTTGTCTTCTAGAACTATTCTCTTATCTGGGCTTGGCAAACCTGTCTCTTGCTGGTCGGTACATAAACGGTATGAAATCAACTGTGTTCAAGTTATAACTCAGCCATTCATGTTGGGGCACCAGCACCATTTCAGAAGGAGTCACTAACTAGCTACCCATTCACTAGAGTAGCTCTGAAATAAATGAAGAACTGACACGTGAGTACTTGCCTGGGGCTCTGGTCACCCCTAATTTTAGCTCACGGATTTTGTTTGCTAAACCTCTGGCTGCAAGGCCGATGAATGAAAAGCACAGCGTGCCACACAAGGCCACAGCTGGACACCAAGGAGCAGCAGCAGAAGAGTCCCACGACCTCCGAATGGCGGCTCGGGGCTAGAGGCAGTCAGGTTACACGCCGCGATCCTCAGTTGACTAGGTTCTAGCGGTCAACTACTTGTACCTAGATAAATCTAATATTTCAAAGACAAGCAAACCTATCAGTGTTCTTAGAATTGGTAAGGCCCGTGAACTTGGCGAGACAACTAGAACGAGGGAGAAAAGCAGGGAAGACTTCAGAAGGCCATAACTGCAGCAGACTTTCTCTTACTCTCCAATCCCAACAGTTCATTAATTGTGATGCATTCTTCCACCAAGTCCTCCTGTCTGACACCCCCCCACTCCCCCCCCTCTTTAATCCACCTCCATGGAGTTTCTTGTCGGTTCGACCCACTCTGCCTCTACAATACCCATTTTCTCCTCCTCCATTCCAGCCTGGATCCTCTCGCTCAGGCCTTTGCCATGTCAAGTGCAGTCTCTTGGGGGCATCTCCTGACCACCACCACCCCTCTCCATTCATTCATTGGCTGGCCACCTGACCCTGTCTGCTTCCCTTCTGTAAATCTTTTTTTTTTTTAATTAAGGCAAACAAAACTTCTATACTAATGTTTAATGGTTCATATTTCTCATACACCGCAGCTGCTAAATACAAACCAAAATACAAATTCACTGCCATCCAGTTGATTAGCGACCCAATAGGCCAGGGGAGAAACTGTGGGCTTCTGAGACTCTCACTCTTTCTCCCACGGTCAAGACAAAGCCACTTTATTGCGTTTGGTGCTCAACCAAACTGCAATTGATTCTAACTCCAGGGAAAACATCTGTTGTGCTAGACAAACAGAAAACAGTGCTCTAGTCTCTAAAGAGGTATCTTTCTACAGAAACTTCAAGGTTCACTTTGTTATTTGGGACTTTTGTATGATCGGTAACTCATCAATTCCCACCATGTGTCTGTCAGTCTGTCACACGGTGGTGGCTTGTGTGATGCTGGGGGCTGGAAGCTACTCACTGGCATTTCAAAGGCCAGCAGGGTCACCCACCGTGAGCAGGTCTCGGCGGAGCAGCCAGACTCAGAACAGACGATGAGGAGGCTCCGCTCCCCACTTTGGAAACCTCATGCAGAGCTTTGCGGTCCGTCCGTCAAAAACGGAAGCCGAAGCCGAGGAAGCAGGCCCTTGTCAGAGACCTTGCAGGAGGACGGGCCCTCAGGCTCGGGGCACTCGAAATGTGACCGGAGAGGATTTCTTGGAGGGCAGCTGCCAGGGTGACAAGTCAGGGAAAGCCTGTGGGCGGGAAGCCTTGGGAACCTTCATTTGTTGATGAGGCACAAACAGCTGCCAACATTTTCTAATGATTCCAACTCAGAAGGAGCGAAGTACGACTCAGGGAAAACAGTAAGAGTAGCTGAAGCAAACGGAAGAAAGATGAAGTCAAGTTGCTGAACAAAAATGCCACAGGGCAGCTTGGGCAACAAAGTCCCACACTGAGCGAAATGTGCCAGCGCCTCGGATTAGGAAACCGAAGGGAAGAGTACGCTCAGCAGGTCGGAAACGGAAAGAACTCAAGAGAACGTCACGCTTCAAGTTGTAACTTGGAAAGATCATCGAGAGAAGATGAAAAGAATAGAGTCGCTGTCCCAAGAACTAGTTCACGTTCTGCCATTTCAAGAGGTAGCATAGCAGCAGCAACCAAAGGTGTTGAAAGGAAGAAATTCAAACTGCACTGAGCGCATTCGCTAAAACGAGGCTCCAGGAACTGATGGGACACTCACTGAAACGCCCCAGAGAGCGAGCTGGCGAACCACTGAGGCACCCATTCTTCTTTGCTAGGGTATTTGGGAGACAGCTTTCCATGTGTCCCCATTCCAAAAAGAGGAGACTCAACAGAATGCTCAAAATATAGAACAGCACCACTGATATTGCGCACAAGAAAAATCCTGCTTAATATCACCCACCAGCGGATGAAGCAGTATATTGACAAGGAGCTGCCAGAAGTTCAGGCCGGATTCAGAAGAGGCTATGGAACAAGGGATATCATGGCAGGAGTCAGATGGATCTTGGCTGAAAGCAGAGCATATCAGAAAGATGTTTACTTATGTTTCATTGACTATGCACAGGCATTTGACTCGTGGACCATAATAAACTGTGGATGACCTTGAGAAGCATGGGAATCCCAGAACATTTCATTGCGCTCCCTGAGAACTTGTACATGGCTCAGGAAGCAGGGTGCAAATAGAACATGGGAGTACTGCACAGTTTAAAATGAGGAAATGTGTGTGCCAGGGTTGTATCCTCTCACCATACTTATTTAGTATGTCTCCTGAGCAGTTCCTCAGAGATGCTGGAGTAGAGGAAGAAGAGTGTGGCATCAGGATTGGAGGAAGGCTTACTAACACAACGCAGTACGCAGATGACACAAACTTGCTTACTGATGGTGAGGAGGAACTGGAGATCAAGGATCACAGCCTTCAGGATGGATTACAACTCAATGTCAAGAAGACCAAACTTCTCACAACTGGCCAAATAGGCGACCTCATGATAAACGGAGAACAGGTTGAAGTGGTCATGGATTTTTGTCTTGCTTGGATACACAAGCGATACTCACGGAAGCAGCAGTCAAAAGATGAAAAGACATACTGTATTAGGTAAACCTGCTGCACACGACCTCTTTAGAGTATAGAAGAGCAAGGATGTTCCTTTGAGAACTACGGTGCGCTGACCCAAGCCATGGTGTTCTCCAATGCCTTATGTGGATGTGAAAGTTGGACACGGAACAAGAAGACCGTAGAAGAATCGATGCATTTGACTTGTGGTGCTGGCGAAGGATACCGGAAGTACCGTGGACTGCTAAAAGGGCAAACTGATCTGTATTGGAAGTACTAAGACTAAGATGCTCCTTAGAGGCAAGGATGACAAGATTTGGTCGTAACATACTTTGGACATGTCAGGAGAGAGCAGTCCCTGGGGAAGGACATCTTGTTGGTAAAGTGAAGGGGTGGCTAAAAAGAGGAAGGCTCTGGATGAGATGTGTCCTCACCGCGGCTCCATCAACGGGCTCAGGAATAGGAACAACTGTGAGGATGGCACAGGACCATCCCATGTTTCGTTCTGTTGTGCATAAGGTTGCTATGGGTTGGGGCCGAGTCGATGGGACCTACCACGTCTCCACTCCTTTTTCCAACCAGGGGAGTTGTCATTTTTCCTGCTAAATTAGTGGTATGACAGCATCTAGCATAGCAGGTTCTGATCCTACAGATTTGATGTTAAATTCTTTGTTTTGTTAGCACTGTTAGCACACATATAGTTTTCTTTAGGAAAGAGGAAAGACTGTTTCCCACAAAGATTTGATATTTGTCCTGGAATTAACAGTGATTCTTTTCAGCTAACTGGTAGCTTAAATTTAATAGATATCAATAAATTTTAAATATTAAAATAATTTGGTACTCAAAATTTAATACCTGTAATCTTCTATCAATTCCCCCTAAGTAATCAAACAGTGCACTTTGAGGATTGCTGAGTCCAGCTCCAATCATTTCTATTTTGCAGCTAGTCTCCCTGACTTCCAACAAACAGTACTTCTCACAAGCCATGTTGTTTTTACTGGTCCAGTGGACCATGAGAGGGATAGTTTGGGTTTGGGTCAATGTGGCTAGGGTAGGGTTCTACTCTGGCAGTAATCTCCCGTGATGTGGGGTAACACAAGGTTATCAACTCCACGATGGGGTCTCACAGAATATAAATCAACTCTGTGAGCAACCAGCACTGGTGGTGGGATACAGCCCCTTAATCAAGTTACAGCCGTGATGCAATGGAAGACAGACTCACCAAGGGTGTGGCCTACTCCTTTTGAAGCAGCCTCTGTGGGCAAGCTTGTCACTGCTGCTGGATCAGGAGCCTGCATCTGATTCATTAACCTAGTGCCATACTGTGTGAGGACTCTAGAAGCCCTAAGTGGACCTGGCTTCATTTGACACTGCATCCAGCAGCCTGTGGTACTCTTGCTTCACCTCCCTGCTTCCTCAGCTCCCCAGAGCTACATAAAGCAGGAGAAGCTTCCAGCTTAACATCTGACTTGCGGACTTGAACCAGACTGGACTTCTCCAACTGTTTAAGCTATTTCTTGACATCAATTTCTTTCTATATACATAAAAAGCGCTACTGGCTTTGATTCTCTAAAGAACCCAGCCTAACACAAATAGTAATATGCCCTACAGCCATGCTGAAGCACGCAATCTGCTGCTTACCACATACAGCGTTGCAGCACCTGAGGGGCTGATGTCTCATCATTCTCAGACGCTGACTAGCAGGCGCTCAATGTTATGAACACTGTGCTAGAGCAGCCGGGGGGCTGGTCTACACTGGAGTCACTGACAGTGTCAGGAGTTGTAACAGAGAGAGCTGGACAATGCTCACTTGTACGGGGTTGTGTCGGACCACTGACCTGTGGGTGTGCCCGACAGCCACTGTGATTTGACTTCACTGTTACGATACTAATACAACAATTAAGAGATTGGATTTACAGCTACTGACTAAGAACAACAAAAAAGAGGTATTTGACTTACGTCAGAACTGACTTACGATGGAGTCGTCAGAACAAACTGCCGTCCTAAGTTGGGGACTACTGGTATACGATATCACAGACGCATGCACAACATGCCGTGACTATCAGTCACGATGGTCACTTCAACTCAGGAGGCAAACAGAAGGATTCTATTTTAGTTATTTTACCTAACTTGTATACCTTCACTTAAGTAAGACAACTTTGTCTATGTATGTTCATAGATAGCAATGCTTACAAAAACGTCTATTAAACGATTCATTGGAGGTTAAGGTTTGAGTCTGTCAGTGTTGGGTCTGACAAATCTCAAGTGGAGCAGGAACTTCACAGACTACGAGGAGTCTGAGCCACAGCTGAAGTTGAGTCTGGTCTCCAACTAACACCTTTCTGTCTGTCTGTCTGTCTGTCATCTCCCTACATATTTTTATATGCAAACATAATTGAATGCACTAAAACTCAGGTCTCCCTGATAATAAACTGGGATTGTGTATATAAAGTTCAAATAATTCTAACCAGATATAAGAGTAATGTTTCTTTTCACATAAGTGATTTGTGTCATCTAATTCACAATACAAATATACTAATCCATAGTTTGGTGTTTTGTTAAACTATGAACTGGACACTACACAATTAATGCCACTTCCTGCTGCCCACAATCTGCAAAGAATGAGCCAGTTCTAGCCTAGGAGGTTATGTGATCCTGTCTGCTGGCATCTGACGCAATCCGTCTCATCCAAACAAGCTGACTCCACCGTGGGGAGGGTGTTGGAGGCTCCCATGTGCTCAGTTCAACCTGACTCCAGACACAGGACTTTGCAGTGCTCAGTGGAAGCCCAGGTGACTGAAGCCTTATGGTTAGGACCAGTGGGAAGACACAAATAGGATGTTTCAAAAGTTAACACATGCATTCATGGATGTTTGATGTCATACTCATGTCTAGGAATTTCCCCTGTACACTACATCAAGCTTTTCATCAATGTTTCTTTGCAGCTCAAGTGATCAAAACAGTCTGTTTCTGGGCAACAGTGTCAAGTGCTATGTATAGACCCATTTAAAAGAACTCTTAAAAACTGACAAAAGGAGAATAAAGTTGTGCGAGTCAAAAACCATATATTGCCCTACTGATGAAAGAAACAAATCACAATCTATAGACATAGCTTTAGATGCATCTCTTCCCTCATATATTACAGCGAGTCATTAAAAGAAAGGCATTCTTCCTACTGAGGCATGCACGGATTAAAATGACTTTGAAGAAAGTGGTGAAGGTAGTGAGCATGATTTGCCTTGACCCTGAAGTTGGTATACAATAGCACACCAGGTGTAACATGAACATACAGCCTTGAGTTTTAGACTGAACGCTGCCTGCCCAAGCACTACCGGTCTTCTGCTGGCAATCGCCCAACAAACTGACCAACCTTACCTAAGGGGCAGCTGTCACCATCGAAAAACACTCATGGCCACCAGATGTAATGGTTCCTGGAGACAAGTGAATGGCAGAGACGGGCGGGAGAAGGGAGCCTGAGAAAGCATGGACTCAGACAACATCCTTCCGCCTTTCTCACACACCATTGGGGTCGTTTCTGCTGTGCTGCTGAGAAGTGCTGATGGCCGAGGAAGGCAAAAGTGGAGAAAGTACAGAGAAGGCATGTGGGCATCTGTACCTGACTACAGTGTGGAGTGAGCTAGAGAATACTGGCTGCTTTTTCTCTCTAAGAATCGGGAGGACAACAGTCTTGTGTACCATGGGAACAGGAGGAGAGCAAGAAATCTCAGAAGCTTCAACTAAGTCAGTTCTTCCAAAGAACATGCTTCACTGAGACAGCCTAAGCCATGTTATTCATTATATTTAATATCCAAAGCACATTATCCCTCACAGGGAAGTCTGGAAAACAGTCTAAAAGCAGCAATGAGCTTTGGGCTTCTTGTGCAAGTAAACAGAATTCCACTTATTCCCATAACTTACATTCCATAAATCCTTAGAAGTAAATAAACTTAACACGCCTTCTGTAACATTTTTGCTTATAAAACAAGTCGAATATAATTCTTACATGCAATATCAACGTTATGAATCTTTATTGATAGTCAAAATGAACAATAAACAGTGCTAAATTTGTGGCGGTCAGTGAACAGTTTCGTTAATGTGGGGCTAACAGGCCGTGTGCGCCTTTCCTGGGGGTCAGTGGGGAAGGGCAGAACCTTCCTATGTGATGTCCCGCCCCGGCCCCAGCCCCAGCTTACCACATCATCAGAATGGTTGCTGCTGGGCAGAATGTCCACCTGAATGGAGACAGTGTCCACGATACTTTTTCTTCTAGAAAGTCGATCTTCGTCTAAAATAAAAGTTTTTCATTTCTTAGCAATATAAATTCAGCTTTCAAAAACTTCCTGAAAATTAAGGCAGTTTGTCTTTTTCTCTAAATGTATAAAGCAATGTGTCCTCAGACATTAAAATTTCAGGATGCAGACTGCAAAATAAGACTGATGGTATGACCCGGATATGGATGACAGTGCTTTCTCCCTGCCCCGGCCACACACAAACGGGTGGGGGGGACGACGGACGACATTACTGATAATGGAAACATTAACGATTTTATCTTTCACAAACACCATCACCAGAAGCCCCACAGTAGCCGCAGTTTTAATCCCAACCCCCAATCACTGCTGCCAGGGCTTTCTCCGTGCAACTTCTGTCCTCCACAGCATTCAACTCGTTTGCTCTCCACCCAGTCCATTCAGCATCGAGAGTGCCCTCATCCAAACTGTCCCCCAGGTGCAGGCTCTGGTGCTGTCAGCGACCCAAGACTGCCCCCTGCAGGTGCTGGTGTAGGAATGCTAGAGGGGCGGCTGTGACGACTGCAGATTATTTCGCCAGTGTTGAAATGATTTGATCTCTGCCTGTGGCTTATTCCTGTTTCTCTGTTGTGGGTGTGTGCTGTGGTGTTAAGTCTGACTCCTGGTGACCCTATGGGGCGGGGCAGAAGCCCACCCCGGCAGGTTTTTCCTCCCAACCCCCACCAAGTGGCTGGTGAGTTTCAACTATCTCTCAGTCACCTGTGAGCTACAGTAGACCCTGCCTTTTGTTTCTCCATCATTACCCAGCACAAACTGGGAGTCGGTGTTTCTCTCTGCCTTTGAGCTGGGGGAATTCCCAGGTCTCAGAAGAACTCACGTGAGGAATACGTTAAAAGCAGCTTCTCAGAGAATTTCTGGGGTAATATGCAAAGGGCTGCTGAGCAGAGCCCAGCAGAATCCTGAGATAGAGAGGGAGTGTGTGTGTGTGTGGGGGGGGCGGGGGCGGAAGGGAGCAGGACGACTGCTAAGGGGCAGGATCGAGAGAGGGCAGACAGCAGCCAGAGTGGGTAGAGAAGAAGGCTGAGATTTAAGAAGAAAAACTAGGCATTCCGAACAGTGAGAAAATAAAGTCTGTGGCAAGTGGGGCAGTTTTGCTTTTTTCAGAGCCACAGAATTGCCAGCCTACAGGTGATGAAGAGGGGACCAGCTACAGCTACACATAGACGTCTGTCGTGGGTATCAGCAGAGGCGTGAAAAAGGGGGAGTTCAAAGACAGAACGCCCCTAGCTGGCCAAGTCTGCTCCTGCCCTGCTGGGCCCAAGGTCACTGGAATGTGTGGCCTTGCTGAGGCCAGGCTCTGAAGGCCCCCCATAGCATTGTGTGTCAGCTTGTCTGGGGAGGCCCCTGGTACCCTTCTTGGGAGAGTCCCAGTCTACCTCACCCTTTCCATTGTCTCACCCCTCCTATCTCTCTCTGCTGCTCACGTGCCCTGTTTCCCGATGGTAATGATCATTTCTTCTCTTTGTGTTTAACTACTCCTGAAGACCTGAATCTTTAGAAGCCTGAGGGAGAGCGCTATTTTAACGACTTGACACTCAGTGAGACTTTGCTGCCCCCTGGTGTAGCTGTATGTAACTCATAGCTCATCACGCTCTCATGGCTAAAGGAGAGAGCAGCCGGAACGTGACGACTGCACAGAGAAATTATATTGGAACTGGCCTGACTGTATATAAGAAATCATAAATGAGCTCTGGGCAGTGAACAAGCTGAGACTCAGTGAAACTCTACAGGGAAAGTATCTCCATACAAAACTCAAAATGTCAACATTCAATCCTTATGCCACTCACACTGGCATACCTTTTTGGGTCCTATTAAAAACAACAAAAACAAAATTCTACCTGGAATTGAATGAGTAGTTACAAAACGAAAACAAACCAGAAATTCGCACTGGTGTCTGGAGCGAAAAGTTGGGAGGGATCATGTTAAGACAACATCTTTTTAAACCAAGAGGACCCTCTGCCACGATTCTCTCCAAGAAAGGAGAGCTGGAAGTAGCTCAGCAGGCACCGGGGAACAGCAGCTGCTCCGACCCAGCAGAGAAAGTGAACAGCCAGGTGAGGGTAACGACTAGGGCAGATCCACACACTCAAGAAGACAACTTGAAAGCCAGGACGTTGAAAGAAACATCACCCGAATTTTCTAAGGTATTTTAAAGTGTCGCTGAGAGAGTCCTTGTTTTATTTCTACCTGGGGCTGGGAGTCCCTGAGTGAGGCCACACCATGCCCAAGGTCACAAAGGTCGAGCAGAGTGAAGATCATCACACATTTCAGGCCCCAAGTGGACTCAGACACAGCATCTGTTTCCTGGCTCAGAGGGAAATTGGCAATTGTCCTGTCACCTTCTTCTGGAAAGGCTCAGTCGCCACCTACTGGGCCCGGCTTGCAATGGCAGGTTCTTCTGAAGAACGGCAAATGTTGACATTTTTAAACCTCCATGGATGGGTGCCAACCACTGTACCATTCCCAAGGTTTGTCCACTGTGGAAAAGCACACACACACCTCCCCGGCCCTGGTGGAAATCTTTTCAAAGACGGGGCCACGGCCACTGCCGCAGTTCATCCTCAAGGACATGGTCACTACAACACTACAATTCCTTTCCATGGAAGCTGTTGTTTCCAAGGTCAGCTATCACCCTACAGTTCTCCACCTCCTGAACCTCAGCCTTTCCCTCTATGCTATCTCTGGCCCCCACTCGTTCAAGCCCTAACATCCACCTTCCAAAGGACAAAGGAATTCCCCAATGCCATCCTCTGCAACTCTTCACGTTGAGAGGGTGTTCTCCGTGAAGTCTATCGATGCTGCTAGCACCAGAATTTCCATTATCACCTCCAAGTGCTCACAGAAAATGCAACGCTTACTCCAACGGCCTTGTAAGGCACTTGACTTGAATGGCCCAGTCAGTGATACTCAGCACGAGGCAAGTCCCCCAGAGGAGCCCACTTCTGTATTCATTTCTAGTACTGAAAACACCATCCTTCCACAGCTCCGAGTCCAAAGCTGAAACCAACGCTCACTAGTCACCCGGAAATGTACACTCCCTACACTCTGGACTTCCACGCAGTGCCATCGTCACCCAGGAAAGTGAAGGGGCCGGTGACCCGGCTCTTGCACTAGTGCTGCACCATGCAGCCCAGAGCTAGGCCCAAAGCCCCACCCGACTCTGGACATTCTCCCCCCACCACCCGCACCAGTCCTCACGTGCATGTCCCTAGATCTACCCAGTTCTCTGCATTCCCACGGGGATCAACAAGGGGGACAAGATTCATGTGAATATGAACAATCTTTTTAGTCTAAATAAATAACCCATGATAAATAATAGCAAAATCAAAGCATTCAGTAAGCACTTGACTGACATGAAAAGCAGTTCTTCCTGGTGTGTCACCTAGCCAGCCCTACTGCCCTCATTTGCACCCCTTTCCACACCCAACTCTAAGAAACATGAACACGGCATGCTGAGCGCAGTGCCTGGCACACAGCTAGTGCACGTCAATGGCAGGCTGGCACTGTTAGAAGGAAGGGTGCACACACCATACACAAAAACAGAATAGATGCTGCTTTTGCTTTGACTTGTCAGTGCCAATGAGGCAGCTCTGAGCCCTAGCAGCCCTCGGCACAACAGAAAGAAACACGGCCCGGCCCTGCACCACCCTCACGGTTGTTCCCACACTGAGCCCACTGCTGCAGCCACGGTGTCCAGCCCTCTCGTCCGGGGTCTTCCTCTCTCTCATGCCCTCCACCTCACCCGGCACGAGGTCCTTCTCCTGCGTGGCATGCTCTTCTCGTAGAGCTTAAGGGATTTCCAAGGACACGCTCTGACATACTCCGCTTAAATGCCTGAAATTGCACAGTAAGCATCTGATGCTTACAGTACAAGGAGCCGTGAAAAGTGGCTATTGTCCCCATGAAGCGTCCCTGCTCCTCCTGGGTCCCGAGATGAGTCAGGGCACGCAAGCCTCAGGCAGTTTCTAAACTGCCCACTCACTGCCATCGAGTCAGTGCTCACAGTGACTCTGGACTATCAAGGTCATGGCAAATCAGACTTAGAGCTCTCTATGGAAAGCTGGAGAAGCACGTGTATGTGGAGATGCCCAGAATTCTTCCCGGGACAGACAGGGATTATGAAAGAGAAAAACCGAGGGCGCACCAAAACATTGGAGTAACACTAGAAGGTACTGGATGGAGTAGGAATGAAGTGGGGAACAGAACTCACAACCCTAAGAGACCAGGCTTCCTGGTCAGACAGACTGGTGGAACCCCCAAACTATGGCCTGAACTCAAGTCCTGGGGCAAAACTTCCAGCCAAGCAAACGAGACAGGTCTATAAGCGGAATCAACACCAGGGAGGTATACACACCTTAAATAAGGTGAACAGCCAGCGAGGCCATTCGCCCAGGAAGTGGGGAAAGAGGACTGCCATCCACAAAGTGCGCATGAATTGTTGAATGCAAATGGAAGGTCTGCTCTGTGATCCTTTACCCAATTCAGAACACAAAGCTTTAAAACAGGCGTCCTCACACTACGGCCCGCGGGCCACATGCCGCCTGCCGAGGACATGTATCCGCACGCCGGGTGTTTTCCCCCGTTTGTTTTTACGTCAAAACAAGATATGTGCAGTGTGCATAGGAATTTGTTCATAGTTGTTTTTTTAAACTATAGTCTGGCCCTCTAATGGGTCTGAGGGACAGTGAACTGGCCCCTATTTAAAAAGTTTGAGGACCCCTGCTTTAAAACAATGCAGGATCCCCACCCCACCCTGAAAAACTCCAATTTTTTCCCATAAACGTTTTGATGTCCCCTCATATGTCTTTTTCTGGGGCAGGAGCAACTGCGGAAGTGCAAACAATCTAGGTTTTTAAAAAAAGAAAAACAAACGACCAGGATTTGTGTTACAAAGTGTTACGGCTTACAGGTACAAACAGGAGGAGGAAAGAAACTAGGGCTACGGGGGTGGCGGGAGAAATGAAAACACAAGTCCACGGGGACTCTACGGCACCTATGGGTCACACACAGAGCTATTTTCCTAGAGGGAGGGGAGGCAAAGGGCACCCAGCGGCCCCTGGAGTTACCTTTGTGCTTGTGCCTGCGCTTACGAGGTTTGGGGCCTGAAGGAAAGAAAGCTAAATCCAAACGGAGAGAATGAAAGCCTTTAAAAAGTGTTTTTAAAAAATCCTCTTAAAATTATAAAGTTCTTCTGCTGCTGTTTTGTTCTTAGCATTTCAATTTATTCAGCCAAGAAATTCATGAATAGAGCTTTGCCTCGTATAGAATTTAACTTAGAATGTACAGACATTCATAGCACCTCAGATAATTACGAATAACTATCATTCTATATTTTAGAATCCCATGGTGAAAAACATAAAGTACAAAGATTGTCCAACTTTAAGTGATTAAGACTGCAAATTATCTAACTGAAACCATATACCAAGTTGTGCTCTCATGGACATATTGGCTAAGCTTAAATGTCTACACACTAAACTGTTGTAAGGCACATTACAAAGAGCATTACAAATTAAAACATTTTCAAACTTCACAGAAGAAAATCAAGCCAAAAATTCGAGTAGAGGTGAAGACAGGAACTGGGTAGTAGTGAACACGTTGCCACACCAGGCAGGTTCAGGAAAATCAAAATCAAATGTAACACATTTGGGCAACTATTTTTTTCTGTGTAATTGAAAATGTACAAAAACTACAACAAAAATAAATACTTTCTCAAAGAGTGAAGCAAAATATTACCTCACCTAGCCCTTCCTATCTGTGTAGGACCCTCCTCCAATGACCGTGAGCCCGTGTGTAGAGTCGGCGGCTCCGAGTTTCCTACTCTTATTCCAGGAAGCAGCTAGTTGGATTTGAATCATCAGCTTTTGGGTGAGCAGCTGATCACTGAACCATTGTGTCATTTGAAAGAGGGCAGATTGTTTATGATGTAAGCAACTCGGAGAAAGTTAGGAATGTGTGTTTTCTCCATGTACTGTCTATCTCCGTCTGTGTACTACATATTGCCATTGCCCATGTCATTTTCTTGTACCCAAGGCAAAACTGCCAGGTGGTTTACATTCCATTTTTACTTAAAGAAGTTAGATCAAAGAATTTCTATCTTATACTTCCATTTTATTTGATGACCGTATATCTAATTTATATCTGATACCCATGACTGCTAAAAGTTAAGTTGACTTTAAGCACTGAGGATCAAAAACTGTAGCTGTTAGTATGAATTGTATGAAGAAGCATCAAAAGATTTGTGGAAAAATGGAATTAAAAGATAACATAATTTTATAATGAACTTTTGCAGCCTCCTTGCATCTTAACAACTCTTCACAGCTGAGCTGGACCAATAAACATCAGGATAAATGAAGTAAAGATTGAAATTGTCAAGGATTTCATTTTACTGGAATTCACAATTATCATTCATGGAAGCAGCAGTCATGAAATCAATTAACAAACATCTTAAAAAACAACAACAAAGTTATCCTATCCCCTTGGGGTCTAAGGGGCTCCTGATACAAGCCACAGTATCTCGAACTGCCTCACCTGCATTCGAGGCTTGGACAATGCATAAGAAAGGCCCAAGAAGATCTGAGGCCTTTGAATTACGGTATGGGTCAAGCATACTGAATATGCCTTGAGCTATCAAAAAAACCCAAACAAATATGTCTTGGAGGAAGTACAGCCGGAAGGCTCCATGGAAGCAGGGACGGTGAGACTCAGTCTCTCGGACCCTGGACATTTCATCAGCGGGATCAGGACTGGAACAAAGTAGAGGGCCAGTGGGACAGAAGAGGACCTTCAATAGTATGGACTGACACAGGTGCTCCTACGACGGCTCCATTACAACAAGCACTGTGAGGACGGCGCAGGGCCAGGAGCGCTGCCTTCTGCTGCACATCAGGTCGCTCTGAGTCTGAGCAAACTTGATGGTGCCTACCGACAATGCCTCAACCTTAAGTTCTACATTTGACACACCTGATGACGGTATACTTACCTATGTGTAAGTGTATTAAAGAGTATAATACACAGATATAATACTATCTCTAAATATTTATATAACAATCAAATAAAATGAGGGCCAGGATTGAAATTCTTTGACTTCAGTTTTTTAAGTAAAACCTGAATGCAAGAAACACGTGGTTTTGCCTTGGGGACAAGAGAATAATTAGGGACTAGAACTATAGCCTGCGAGCCACATGTGGCCCGCGAGGACATTTATCCGGCCCGCCGGGTGTTTTTGCCCCATTTGTTTTTTTACTTCAAAGTAAGATATGTGCAGTGTGCATAGGAATTGGTTGATAGTTTTATTCTAAAGTATTGTCCGGCCCTCCAACAGGTCTGAGGGACAGTGAACTGGCCCCCTCTAGTTTGAGGACCCCTGGACTAGATATATAGAAAGAAATATATGACACAGAGGGAAAAGATATTCCTAACTCTAACTTGTAGGGTTATGTGCATGACAGATTGAATTCTCCCAATTAACAAAAGTCTCCTGATTGATGAAGCTCAATAACAAGCCACTCCCTCCCTGTGCTTTATATCAACTCTGACTCTCATTAAGTGTAATAACCTACTAAGCATAATAAAAGTACTACTCAAATAAAAGTAATAAACACTCAACTACTCAAACTGTTAGTCACACACATCTTTAGAGATCTGCGATTGGTTCAGGAGGGCTGATTTTGGAGACAGAAGAAAGCACAATCTGCAAGCACTGATTGGACAAAGGCTGTGATGGATCAAGCCCACTGAGATAGCTAAATTGTGCCAATGGGTGGAGAGATAAATGACTCCGAGAGCCTCACCTTTCTAGTTCTTGGGTCTCTTGCTTTGTGCTGGTTGGACCAGAGTGTATGCTTAGCCAGTTCCCTGTTTCAGCTGGCAAGGCTCACTTCATGCAACACATCCCTGAGGAGAAGCCACATGGACCTACCCCAATGCAGCCCTGGGTGCTGGAGCACCCATGTGGAGACCTCTGCCAGCGGTGAGATACTTACACATTGACTGACTTGGCTTTCCTCCTGCAGTCAGCATCATAGTGTGTGTCTTGTGAGATGGGAGGACTTTGTGGATTGGTGTTGGACATATGGGTTAATGGATAATGTTGGGGCTTGTGGGCTTGGGCAGCACTGGGTTGGGATGTTTTCTTGATGTGCACTTAACGTTCATATAAAACTCTCTCTTATACATGAGTTTCTGTGGATTTGTTTCTCTATAATACCCAAACGAACACACAGCAGAAGTCATCTTCACTGCTCGTTTGGTGACAAAATGTGAGAAAAGCAGAATCAGCCCAGTGACCCCCTTCCTTACCTTTAGCTTGTGGCACGTATGGGACTGACAACCTCTCCACACTGTACCCGCTGCCACCAAGAGACTCCGCAATCTTATTGCTCAGAAAATACAGACTTTTGTCATGCTTCTCTAAGGACTTCGGCAGCCTGTCAGGGCCATCAAAACAATCGTTAGTTGGCATTACTTAAGTTACTAAACAAACACTCTAGCGGAAAAATGCCCCGATTCTAAATGTAAACACCATGCATACCGCTAATTTTTAGGTGACTGATTTGACTTATGGGAAAATACTTGGTGCATGGTCCCACACATGATGGGGCTTCAAGAAGTTCACTGGAAAATGACAAGGTCATGAAGTTTTCCCACAACTGAAGAACCTGCTGTCTGCTTTCATTCATCTCTCCAGGGTGCTGAGCCAGTGGTGACCTCAGCCGTGGGTTACATGGCTGGCACGGGGCACGACCGTCAGTCCTCTGTCTAATTACAGGTCACTGGGAGGAGAGAGTGAGGAGGAGCTCACAGGCTGCTACTTGGAGGTGTCTTGGCCAGCCACATGGCCCCAGGCACTCCCTCCAGTCCCTAAGAATTCCTTACAGAACACCAAATGCCATGCTGATCCTGTTGCTGCTAAACTGCCTGCAGAACCTCCTAGTTTGAATAAAATATAATCCATAGTTGTTTTTCTTTTCAAATTCTTTCTCCAAGTTACAAGCATATTACAATTCTTATTGAACGTCTTCGACATGATACTGTATAGTCCTAAAAGACTGCCCATTTATACACAAGAATACCAAAAAGACTACAGTTAAGAAACATGGCTCTGTTATTTAACAAAGTCAAACAGGCCTCGCTGTTTTAATCAAAGACCAACAGCCTGTGGGTTATTAAGTGACTGAGGCCCAGGATGGTGATGACTGTCACAAACACCGCAATCACCACCCCCAAGTGCACCCTGAGAGGATTATCGCTGGCTGGGCTCCGAGTGGCTGTGCCTTCTTTAAAATGCAGGGCAAGCTGCCACCGGCACGGAACGCAAAGAGGTCACTTACGTGCACTTATCTCTGAAAATGTGCTCTGGGAGGAAGTAGGGGGCCTCCATAGTTCGAATCTCAATAACCTGACAAACAAAAATAAAACCTCACCTCAGAACCTTGCGATGAAAGTTTAAAAAATAAGAAAAACAACAAAAAGCAAAATAAAAACAAAACCTCTATGCATTTTAAGAAATGGATTACCTTGACTTTAGGCTAAGTTAGAACACAGTTTACATTGCTTTCACACCAACAAAATCATAGTTATTTATTTAAGTAAACATAATGACCCTAGCACCCTGCACACATGTGGTTCATGAGACCAGGAAGAGGCAGGGACGGGAATCTGCTCAAATGTCCTCTGTGGAGGCCTTCCACACAAAGCATGAGGCTCTCCCTTTGGCAGCAGTGTGGGGGCATGGTCTGGCCTCACCCAGGGACTGCTTTTGTACTATGACCTGCATCTCGGAATGGCTGGCCTGAAAGATGCACTGAAATGTTTACTTCATGAATGAGGATTAATTCTCAGAATGTACTAAAACTTACATCAAAGCGGGCACTGCCAACTTGATTCTCCAAGACAAATGACTTTAAGGCATAAACATTTCAGTGGACTCTTTTGGCCAGACATGTCTGGGGCTCTGACATACATATGAATTCATGTCGTCGTGAGGTGCCATCGAGTCAGTTCCAGCTCCATGTACAACTGCCTGCTGTGGGCCATCCTCCCAACGGTCCTCACATTTGAGCCCATATTTGCAGCCATTGTGTCCATACATCGTATAAAGGGCGCTCCTCTGCCCTGCTATTGATGGCCCTTGCCAGGGACCAGTCTCCTGATTACATGTCCATCGTACGTGAGATGAAGTCTTGCCATCCTCACTTCTAAGGAGTATTCTGAGTGTACTTCTCCCAAGACAGATCTGGTTGTCCTTCTGGTCCATGGTGCACTCAATATTCTTAGCCAACACCCCCACCAACACATCACTTCTCCTTTGGTTGTCCTTAGGAATGGTCCAGCTTTCACATGCAGATGAGGTGATTGAAGATAGTGTGGTTCGAATCAGGCGTCTTCAAAGTAACATCTTTGCTTTTTAACACTTTTAAGAAATCTTGTGCAGCAGATTTTTCCAAAACAACATGCCATTTGATTTCTTGATTGCCACTCCCATGGGCACAGATATGGATCCAAGTAAAATGAGATCCCTGGCAAATCCCACAGTTCCTCTGCTATAATGGTGCTGATTGCCCCAGCTGTGGAGACATGCGTTTTCTTCACACTACACCATACAAGTGATTATTTAATGGGTGGTTGCTGAAGAAAACCCAATATGGTTAGAGAATATATGACAATTCTCTGTCAAGCACACCACTTATTATGAAAATATTTGTATCAAGCAAATTGATTCAAAAGCAAAGCAAAAAAAAAAATTATCTTTTAACTGTTTTTCCACATAGTTTTTGAAACTCCCCTATATCATTTAAGAAAATTTGGATTAATAATGGCTCTTAAGAAAACATATATGGAAATCTCATGGAATTCTAGAAATTAAGAAAATCCAGGATTCCAAAAGGTAAAAATGCAGAATAAAATTTCAAATTCTCATGGACTCCAGACTTCTTCAGCCACTGAAGCTGGATGAACCCTGAAACTACTGCTCAGATAACCTATAACCCATACACCCCAACATCTTCTTTCAGCCAAAGCACAGTTGAGTACGGTCAATAGAGGCCGTGGACCGGAGCTGAGCTCTTGTGCAGCATCCCGAGGTGGGAGGAGCTGAGTGGTGCACAGGGTCAGTGCGGGCGCTGACCCCAGAGTCACTCTGCAGCAAAGGAAAGGAGTGTCTGCTCTGGAAAGGCCGCCTCCAGGGAAGAGGTGGGAGTTCTACCCTGTCCCACAGGGCTACTGCGAGTCAGAATCCACTCAACGGTTTTCCGCTGTTTGCTTTACATTGATATGGAATCATACTGGCAACTGCAACTCCAAGGCTAAATGGGAAGTTTATAGGCAGGGAGTTATATTAATGGGGAAGGAACAAATCTGAAAAATAGGGTGAAAAAGGTTTCACAGGTGTATCTCCTGCTGTGCACTTCCAATAACAGCAAATAATTAAATACCAAACATTTATTCTATTCAAACACTACAGTAAAAACACTAATAACAGCATGAAGGAGAATACGACGATACTAGCTGTAGTTCTGACTTAGTCATGATTTATTATTAAGAAATTATTTTAATCACTTGATGATGCATTATCGTCAAAATTAAAAATCATATGCTCAAGAAAAACAGTCTTTTGGGGGGCTGCAAATCAAGCTTAAGGGCTTTGATAGACCAGATTACCTTGCTAACATGCTGACAAAAGGCAGGGACAGCAATCATCTGGCTTAGGAAGTTCAGGTATGCCGCCACCAGGGCCATGGTCCCACAGCGATGGAACATGGGCAAATTGTCCTCATTGATAATCACACTGTCCTGGGAGGAGAGACAAGCACATGTGATGGCTCAAGGTCTTATGCGGTGTCAGCGTTCTCTGGGATTATGATGGAATACTGCAGGGGGCTTGGAATGCTAACCAAAATGCCACCTTGTAAATTCTGATGGTTTTGAAGTCTACGGAAAGGAGAATAAAAGGCCATTTGTAGGAGTGAGTGAGTGTCTGTCGATAAGAGTGTCTTTGTTTTAGGAAAGTCCATTCTGATCCACCGCATGCTGTCCTTGTAGCCAACCGAGCAGACAAATTATCACTCCTGCAGGACCGGCCACCTTCACTCCTAGCCTGAAAGTCACATGGCGCAGGGACCAGTGTTTCAAAGGCTATGAACAATGTTTGGCAGAGTTAGTGATCATTTATTTAGTGTTTGTTCAAAGAATAAATGAATGGGATCTCAGAGTGATAACTTGATGCCTTCCTTTTAAAATTCATGTCCTCTGGCCACACACACATCACAGTCTTCAAACCCCCGAGACCAGGACGAGAAAAAGTCTGGTTATCCCTCCCAGCTGCTCTGCCAAGGATCACGTGAGAAGGTTCTGGATAAAGTGGAGAAAATAGAGCAAGGAACTCCACACTGAGTGGTTGGAGGGAGACTGGGGAGTCACCCAGGACTACGGCCCTTTGTCGTCCTTCCCATCGGGAATGGAACTCACCCTCCTGTTAGTTGGACTCAGCAGCCATTTAAGATCAAAAGGGCAGCTTTTCCTCCAGGACAAATGCTCGGAGGGTTGGGAGAGGAGGCAAATGGAAACAGGACGGGACCGTAGCTGGCACATCAAGGATCGCAATGGATGAGGTACATCAGAATGTGCATGAATTACGGAACTGAAAACTAATGCTCGTCTCTGTAAACCTTCATCCAATTCACAATGAAGAGTCACAAAAATTAAAAAGCATTCATGTCTTTTCAAAAAGGCAACAACATATGAAAAATGGTGTCTACTTCCAAAAACGTTTTCTTCAACAGGGAGGTTAAAAAAGCATACCTGTAAAGCAATGGCTAATCGAATGAGATCAATAACCACTTCTTCATTGGCCAATTCAATAGTCATAAGAGCAAGAGATGTATAGAGCAGCTCATAGTTCTTCTGAACGTTGTCTTCCTCTTTGCAGCCTAAATAGATATGCCGGTACAGCTGCTGTCCATTCTGGAAAAGGAAGTGACAGAAGAAAAACCCACACCTTTCACTTACAATGTCTGAAAGCCACTGTGCAAACTTGGGGAGGGGATGACAGACTGACTTGCGCAACACGAGGCAGTGTGGCAGAGCTATGGGAAACTTCTATTCTTTTCCGGGAGCATTTTCAACAGGGCTGTCTGTGACGAGACTACTGAATTAGCAAGTGTGCTAACAGCATGTGCCTGGGCCCTACTGTCAGCTAAGGAAGGCCTCCTGTGAGGTGGGAAGGCGCACCTGTAGGCCTGTGAGCACTGCTGTGGACCCCCCACAGGCAAGCCCCGAGCCTCCCTTGGGGAGTAGTTAGGGAGACACCCAGGAATGGCCCTGAAGTCTTGCCTAAGCCAGACTGATCTAAGGAGTCAGTAGAGGACACAATGCCCCTTCCCCTCAGAAGGCTTCCTGAGTCTGGGATCAACTGCCAGGTGAGAGAAGAGAAATATAGGGTGTTTCCCAACACAAACCACAAGACAGGGCACACAGACACACACACACACACACACACACACACACACACACACACAGCCGGTGCAGTGGGGAAGGCTGCTGAGTCTCAGTCAGGGGCAAGCCGGGTTCAGAACCTCAAGAAGGGAGCAATAGTTCTCACATGAACTGATCCAGGACATGGAATGCAGAGAGAGGACAGCCTGTTTGGACAAGCATGCCTCTACTCTGTGTTCTCACCTGTAAGGAACGACGTAAGCTGTGCTGGGGACAGGACAGGGCCGTCAGGATGCTATCAGAGGGCCTTTTTGTTGCTACAAATACGAGGGTAGGCCCTTGAACCTAAGTCCTGTGTCTTTGAGGATGGAATGCTGGTTTCTACCCTTCTGAATCCAGAATTTAAATGCCTCCTTCTCAAAAGGCCCTGTACTGGTCTTGGGTATCAGGCCCTCCCAAGCCCTGAGTGTTTCAGTGATGTCTCTATTGCTCGGATGCTCCCAACAAACACCAAAGGATGCTCATGTTCCCTTCCTTCAGTGCCTAAGACACACAAGAAACAACAAACTCCCTGCCATGAGTTGACTCCGTCTCCTAGCAGAGTGGGAGCGCCCTGTGGGTTTACATACAGCTGTGTGCGACATATAGCTGTGTGCGAACAGAAAGCTCATCTTTCTCCAAGAGGGGCTAGTGGTTTCCCAGTGCCGACTTGGCGGCTAGCAGCTCAGCATGTGACCCAATCCACCACAGCGCCCCTTCCTTAAGACAGTCCAGGGTTTTGTTGGCTTGTTTTGAAGTACTACATGCCCACACAAGGGAAGAGTAGGGCCTCACATGTAACAGGTGAACCACTCTGAAAGTGCCTGGCATTGCCTTGAGGTGAAGAATCCATACCCTACGGCCTTGCACATCCTTCCTGAGAGAAATGGGTGTCACCGAAGGTGGCACACACACAAGAATGCCTTGGAACAGGTGTGTGTGGGGGGTGGGGGTAGGGGGAGTGGTACAGAGGCTAGAGGGGACGTCTTCACCCACAGAAAAGCTGCGACCTGAGACCTGCAGGAGCAGCCAGCAGGAAGCTATGCTGAGGTGGAGACACTGGAGGTCTGAGCCCCATCGAAACCGTATGGTCGAGTTTCAGTTAGAGACCAGTATCCCAGCACCTCAGTGCTGACACGGTTACAACCTGCAGCATGTGTTATTTGTTGCAAGACAATCTTACCTTTTTCATAAAACTTGTGTCTTGTCTGCAAATTTTTTCTCTTTTTATCTTCAGGTCGGCCACATCTGGTATTATTCTACAAACAATAAAAATATCATTTTTCACGACTAGCCATATGTAAACCATTTTCAAGCATCAAGTTGCATGACTAAAAGATCCACTGAGCAAAGCACCAAATGATAGAGGAAGCACCAACAAAAGATAAAGAGAACACGGAGTGACTGTGCCAAAAACATTGAGTCCACGTCCAACCATTTCAAGAAGTAGCATATCTGCAAGAATCAATGCTACTGAAGAAAGAGATTCAAGCTGCGCTGAAAGCATTAGCCAAAACAAGGCTCCAAGAATTGATGGCATATTTGAAATGTCTCAATGTCTCAAGCTGATGAAGCACTGGAAGCAATTACTCGTTTATGCCAGGAAATTTCAAAGACATGCCAACTGACTGGAAGAGATCCAGATTTGTGCCCATTCCAAAGGCGGGGACCCAACAGAACGCCCAACAACATCTCTTTTCTTTCTGCTTTTCCCAGGGTCTTGGTTTTAGGGTCTGTTGCTGGGGTTGATTTGGAAAACGGCATTGGATAGACTGCATCAGCTGCAGTTCCTTAGATACGGTGTTCCACTCTATTTCCAGCTATCAAGTTATACTAATTTATTAACTGACCATTTTAGTTTTAAATATGAGAAGAATTCAGACCCATAAACTACAAGATAAGACAAAAAAGGTAAGAACTATTTGAAAAAGGATTGAGTATTCAGGGAATTCCAAGAGAAGCCAATCGTAACATAAGGTCAGTGGTTTGAACCCACAACTTTGCAGCCCATAGAGGATGTAAGGTTTGGAAACTCAAAAGAGCAGTGTTTCTCTGTCCTAGAGAATCATTGTGGAGTTAGACCCGATTAGAAGCAGCAGGGTTTTCGTTTTGGTATGGGAGCTGGGCAGTAGAGACAGAGAGAGAGAGACCACAAACTGGACACTGCAAAATTAAATAGAGCACAGCTTGAGAGGAATGGAAAATGAGAAAAGGGGAATTGAAAAACTACTCATGCGGAAGGTGTGAGAGCAATTTAAAGTGTAGAGAATGTAAGACTTGATAGCAATTTTCTTAAGTATTTTGGAGATTAAATTTTCTCTTCAAATTATGCAGTAAATATTTCAGAACACATTTACATTTTAAAATTTACATTTGATTGTTGCTTCTGAGCTAGATGGCCGCTTGTTTACCTTCAAGCCTTTAAGACCCCAGACGCTATATCTCTCGATAGCCAGGCACCATCAGCTTTCTTCACCACACTTACTTATGCACCCATTTGTCGTCAGCATTTATATGGGAAAGGTGAGCACACAATGATGATTTTTGTTCTTTGGTGTCTGCTACCT